TTTTTTTTTTTTTTTTTGCCATGCATTGCACACATTATTCTTTAGTTCTTCATATTAGAGTTTAAATTTTATATTATGTTTTATCATCTCTTAAATTTTGAAGAAAACGAAAAATTAGGAGATCCTAACATTAAACTCGCCTATGCTTTTATCTTTGAATTGGACAAAAATAGCAACATTAAATAATAATAATAATAGCACTTTTATTTTTAATTTTTATTTTTAATTCATTTGAATCTTTTGCATATTATCTCATGTATTATTATAAAGATAAATCATATTCAATTTATTAATAAATTATTTTAGTTTCTTTTGTTTATCATTATTTTTTAAATTAATATTTAAATATTACACTAATTATCATTTATATATTACATTATTAATTATGTACTTTTTTATCTTTCATTATCAACTATTGTATATAATTTTAATCAAGATTATATTTTTTTTATTACTTAAATGGATCAAATTTAATTTTTATATATTCATGACCTTTTACTTTTCATGCTCTCATATGTATTTCTTTTTTTAATTTATCAATATAAGATTTTTGGTGTAAAAAAGAAATGAAAAGAAAAGTCATATAACTCTAAAACTGTAAAAGTAAATTTGGGTCATTTAAGGTCTTCAATGTTACAAAAATAATTATTGTGCATTATAATTTTATAATTTGGTATCATTCTTTATAAAAATTGATTTCTATTCCGCTTCCTTTAATTTAATACATTATAGGTAATTAAAATAATAATAATATAATAATAATTAGTGACTAATAATTTTATAAAATTGTATTAAAAAATTAGTTAAAAATTAAAAACTTACTTTTTTTTTTAGAAAGGGTGTCACAAGAGAAAGGTTTGCATGAAGCATTACCAAATGAAACCTAAGACTCTCAAGTAAAATACAAAAAATGAAATATAAATAAAAAATTAGATAAAAAATAACATTATTAGAGTTTAAAAATTATAATAAAAACTAAAATTAGAATACTAATAAGACAATAATTTATATTCTCAAACAATTAATCACTAAGAAAAAAAGAATTATTAAGAATTTTAGGAAACGAAATAAAATCTAGTAAAAATAATCAATAGTAGAAATTAAATATTTACTTTTGAGAATAAAGTGACGTGATAATAGTTCTAATGAATTATAAGCAAAAAAAAAAAAAAAGTTGGAAACTTTTAACAACAAATAAAATCTAGTGGAGATAATCAAGAGTATAAGCTGGCACAATAAAAATAAAAATAAAAATTAGGCACCATTGCAAACACAATTGATTTGTCAATAGAGTCTATTAATTACAAATATTTAGTCAATAATAATAATAGAGAACTTCGTTAGGAATTTTAGTTAAGAAACAAAAAAAAAAAAAAAAACCATTAAGAGGAAAATATTTTTACAATGAACAGTGCTTAAGTACTGATTAATTTAGAGACTCTAAATCTACATGCTCCTAACAAATCATTTATAAGATACTCATATACCAAATCAAAGTGTCTAGCTAAATACATGTAGGGGTGGGTAAAAATTGATTTCGGTTGAAACCAAAATTGGTTTTAAATTAACCAATTTTTTTTTTTTTTCAATTTTGAGAATCGAAATTGAATCAAAATTTTTCACCAACCGATCGGTTTGGTTACCAATAAAATCAGTTATTTTATGTTTGGTTTCGATTTTTATCAAATAAACATTAATCAGTTTCTTATCCCAATAATAGATTATATTTCATGTCATATTTTATCATATTTTGTCATATTTATCTAAATTTTGATTTTCAAGAGGCTCATTTCGGTTTTCGGTTAATAAAAAATTCAATCAAAATCAAATTAAAATTTATTCAATTAATATCGAACTGAAATAGTAAAACCCAAAAATCGTTGAAACCGAACCAAATTCATTTTTTTGGTTCGGTTTTCAAATAACCATTTGGTTACCCACTCCTAAATACATGGAGACCCCTTTTTAAATGGTAAAATCCCAAACCCATGTAATACGGATAGTGGTTCGCTTCCCTGAAGATGTGACACACCTCACATTGCCATTCTCATTGCATAAAACCTTGCACTTGCATCTTTGAGTGTTTAACGTACTTATTATTTCTTTTTATTTTTATCAATATTGCCTTGAAAAGAAATCCATGGATAATCTATAGTAGGAAGAGAATTTCAAGAGACAAGCAAGAATATTAAAAAATTAATGATAATAATGATAATATTTTATAAGAGATAGATTTAAATATGTTCATTATTTAGTGAACTTTTCATGAAAGAGAAAATCAAAGAGTATGTCTTTTTCTCTTCTTTTGGTTTAATATATATGTAACGAAAAATAATAATGAATATATTAATGTAATATACATCAAATAATTGGAGAAATTATTTGGCTACATATTTATGCATTAATTAGGGATATATAGCAAAAGCTTGACCAACTCATTAATATATTTTTCTTCTTTTTTTTTTTCATATTTCTAAACTATTATCAATGTGCCCTATTTAATACATAGCATAGTATTATATATATATATATACACACACATAGATAGATAACAGTATTAGCAACTAATAAATGTTTATTGGTCTGACCCTAGTCTGGTATTAATTGAGCTTATATGATTAACAACTTACAAGTGAGACCGGCACACTAAAATTAATTGAGATTTATCCAAATAGGTATATAATATAATATTTAGATTTATTTCTTATTATATTAATTCTTATGAATAATTGGATATCTAGCTCATTAGGTATTTATTAAGAATTTTTCTAAAATCTAAAATCTAATGGGTATTTATTGATAATTTCTTTTAAAGCATGATAAGTATTTATTTATAATTTTTTTAAAAAAAAAAATTCGTTGTTATAGTAATTTTCACAATAAATTTTATATATAATTAAGATATAATTTTATTGATATTAAAAAACTATAATGATTACAAACTAATTCAAATAAAGGTATATACTGGAGTTATTATAAAGAATGTAAAACCTCCATTATTGAATATCAAGAATTAGGGATTTTTTTTTTTTTTATGGTGAGAAAGGGCGCTTGAAGAAGGGAAGAGTATTTTTTTGTTTTGTTTTGTTTTTTTTTTTTGGCCATCACGAAAGGTGATGGGGTGATGATGAAGTGGCCAGCTCCAGTGCTCACCGCCCAGGGAATATATGACGGACATGAGCTCAGGGAGTGCTTGCATATTATTATTGTTATTTTTAAATATGGCTGAGGAAATGGAAGAAAAGGGATGAGAAAGAAGAAAAGGAAATAATATTTTTTTATTTTTTTAATTTTTATTCATTTAGAAAAGTAAATAAAGTAAAAAAATAAAAGAAAAGAAATTCTTTCTCTCCTTTTCACTTTAATTCTTTTTATAATTAAATAAAAGAAATTTTCCTCTCCTTTTTTTTCTTTCAATTCAAATATACTATAAAAGATATTTATTAAAACTTCTTTTAATATAGTTGTAATTTTTTATTTTTAGTTTTATTTTTTTATAAATTTTGTAACTACACCAAAAATTAAAATAAAAATTAAAAAATAAACAATTTATTTAAGATAAGTTTTAATAATAATAACAAAAAATATAAACTTATTTGTTAATAATATTAAAATTATTTTTTTTCTCATTCTTCTAATAATTATCATGATATATTGTAAAAACATATAAAAATAAACATATTTTTCTGTTTGAAGTTGCAGAACTTGTAAAAATTAAAATTAAAAACTAAAACAATTATACAGAACAAAGTCTAAAGATATTTACAAAAATTATTTTTTGTTTTTTATATGAATTTTTAGTTTTGTAATTTAAATTATACTCAACTACAAAATTTTTTAAAAAATTTTACTTTTTAATAGTTAATTTTGTACTATCTAATATAATTTAGATCGTACAAAACATTTTTATTCTTGTAAAACTTACTTATAGATTCAAAAATATTAAAAAATGACTTCACCCTAGACAATATTTAAAATTTTTTTGAAACGGAATAAACTCTACCAAATACCACCTACTTGGTGGTCGGCACAACTGCAAAAATAAATTAATCTTGAAGATAATCATTTGCGTTGGAAGATAACCATTCGACTCGACTTACGTACAGGATATCCTCTGCTTTTGCACAATTTTTCTGTGTTCAATGATAATAATTAAAAAATATATTAACACATATTTGATTTAATATATTTTTTATATTTATTTTAATTTAATTATTAAAACATAATATAGATAAAATTATTTAATTATTTCAAATAATTTTTATATCATATATATTTTTTAAA